GGATAAACATTTCCCTCTATCACCTACGAAGTGCCCAGTGAATTAAAAAAGGCCTGCAAACACATGTCAATGAATTTTTTTTAAATCACACACATACTATACATTTTCAGAGAGGGAAAAAAAAAAAACGACCATGGAGGAGGAGCAGACATTCAGCATGGCACTGAACTTCTCTTTGGTAAGACTGAAGAAATTTTCAGGGTCATAATAAATGAATACTAAAGTATCTTATGAATTTTCACATAGAATGTCTTTTAAAAGGCATGGTTTTAAAATTTATCTTTCATCTACAAAGTTTCTTCTAACATTTAAGAACAGTCCCTTTTGATTACTATCAAAAAGATGAGCTCTAAGTGCTGGCAAGGATGAAGAGAAAAGGCAACCCTCATGTACTGCCGGTGAGAAGGTAAACTGGTGCAGCAGTGATGAAAAGCATTATAAAGATTCCTCAAGAAATCAAAAGCTGAACTACCATACAATCCAGCAATCCCACTTGTAGGTATAGATCCAAAGGAAATGAAATCAGTATCTCAAAGACGTACCACACCCCGCCTCCATATTCACTGCAACTTTGTTCACAGTAACCAAGATATGGAAACAAACTAAATGTCCATCAATGGACAAATGAAGGATGTGTGTATATATATACACACACTGAAATATTATCATCCATGAAAAGAAGGAAATCTTGCCATTTGTGATAATGTAGATGAACCTTGAGATCGAATGCTAAGTGAAATAAGGCAAAAAGAGAAAGCACAAACTGCATAATCTCACTTAAATGTGGAATCTCAAAAACTCAAACTCATAGAAATCCAGAGTAGGATGGTGGTTGCCAGGGGCTGAAGCGGGGAGGTGCTGGTCAGAGGGTACAAACTTCCAGTCAGAAGATGAGTAAATTTGGGGGATCTAATGTACAGTCTGGTGACTATGGCTAACAACACTGTACTGTATGCCTAGGAGTTGCTGAGAGAGATCTCAAATGTTCTCACTATCACGACCACAACAAAAAAATGGTAATTATATCAGGAGACAGATGTATTAACTAACTTCTTTTGTGGTTATCACTTTGCAATGTATACATACATCAAATCATCACACTGTACACCTTAAACTTATATGACGTTACATATCAACTATACCTCAACAAAGCTGGAAAAAAAAAACATTAAAAAAAAAGAGACATTTCTGGAAGGGAGGAAAGGAAAGTTTCATATCCTTTGAACTTAGAATTAGTTAACAAAATAAAAAGAAAAAAATCTAGGATCAGATGGGAGATTTAAGCCCACTTCTTCAGTGATTTAAATATTTACTTTTGGGTAAAAAAAAATTAATATTGTGTAAGAAATGTAATTTATATTCAAAGACTATCAGAAACACCTAAAGCCCAACAAGTTTAATTAAAAGGAAGAAGTAAAAGATGAAGCTCAAAGATGAACTTTTCTTTGATTGGTAGATTAAAAAAAAGAGAAAAAGCAAGAAACCAGAAAGTGTCAAAGATGACAGCATTAAAGATATAAGAAAGAAACAGACATGTGAGATCTTCACAAACCGAAAGAAGGATGCTAGGAAAGACACCCTTAATAGCAAAATCACAATTCAACTGGATTAAAAAGAATGTAGGATGTGATTTACATATCTGGCCAGATAAGGATAGTTCAATGATCTTATTATTTGGAATAATAGTCTTATAGTTCGAAGAGTTCCCTCCACCCCCACTCCAGATTTCTTTTTAATCTAATAAAAAGACAGGCTTGTGCTAGATATGTTTATAGTGTATATAAAACTGGCTAGCTACTTACACTATCATAACCAGGTTTTACAAAAATCATCTTTACCTTATAATCTTAATTATAGGCAGAAATCACTGCTGACTTCTATTCAATGCACTTTTGTTGCATTAAAAGTGTACTTTTGTTGCATTTTTTAAATTGAGGCATTTTCAAGGAGTTAATATATTAGAAATTCATATATTTTAAAGAATTCAAAATAGCGACTGCCATATAGATAGACTCAGGCATAGGAGTTTTGTTATAAAAAACAGGCATTATTAATTTCTATGATTGCTTCACATGTAGACTAAACATTTCAAACCGATTCAAGGTAAAAGATCCAAAAATCAAATCCTAATTCTAGGTCTCAAAATTCAAGACTCCAAAAGGAATGACAAAACCACTAGCTTACATATCCTAAAAGAATGTGGCAGAGTTAAGGTAGAGACTACCCAGTGGTCCAGAGGCTAACTCTGTGCTCCCAACGCAACCGGCGCAGGTTTGATTCCTGGTCAGGGGACTACATCCCTCATACCACAACTAAGACCTGGCACAGCCAAATAGATAAATATTTTTACAGTTAAGAGAAAAAACACGTATATCTACAGGAACCTCAAAAAACAGACACCTCATTGGCTAATTTATTTACTCTCTGATCAGAATAACTCCTCCGAATGAAATATCTGGCAATTCCTATTACTAATCTAGTTCGAAGAAGCTATGCAAAAGGTAGCAAAACTGGAAGAATTTTGGCCTATGTATTTTTTTTTGCCTATCTCTTCAACAATAATAGCTTATTAGCAGTCATTTGCCATATTAATGTCAAAATGTAAGTAAAATCAGCATCTTCCTTTACCAAAAAACCTAAATCTAACCTGGAACAGTCAGGATAACAAGATCATGGTTTTGAAAACATTAATACCAAAGTTGTCTCTTTACCATTTTCCTGCTTTTACTCAAGGCACAGTTTTATATTTTGAAATCCTACTAGGGGGACAGTAGTCAAATATGACTTCAGTTCTTATGTTCAAGATGAAGGGGGAGAGACAACTAATGTCTCACAGTATAATCAAAAACATCCAGCAAAAACTGTCAAATGACAAGAGGATAATGTGAAAAACAGTCCAAGTATTTGCAGAAGTAACCTCCTAAATAATTTTTAACACTTTCTGTCTATGAAAGTGCTAAAATGAAGATAAAACCCTCAAAAGATCTGGGTTAAAATTGATATAAGTGTTTTGTGTATGGGAGCTATGGGGGATTTGATTTTTTGACAGATCTTTTCACTTGAGAATAATCTCATAAGCCTTAATTAAACAAGGAAAAGTTAAAAACTCCTCAATGTACCAAAGAATAAGGAGCAACTAATCTGGTTACTTAAAAACTGTAAACATCTAGGTTGCCAATACCTCTATAACCAGATAAACACGCAGTGAATATAATAAGTACAGTTTTAAAAATCTGTGACTGAACTTAGGTGCAGAAAACAAATTCTTGTTAAAATGACCATAATTTGCTAGTTGGTTTGTCTTTAACCAAAACATTTGTTCAGAGACTATTGAGAATGATTTGACCAAGGCAAAGGGGGATAAAATTTACTAAACACTATCTGTTCTCAATGAGACAACTCAAATTTTCGATATGGAACTAACATTACCCATTATTCCACTTTCTTTATCTTTTGTGGCTTTCTGAAGCAAACTGTCTTGCCCAATTACATACTTGCAGAATTTTCAATTAACAAAAAAAAAATCTTTACAAAGAAACAATTTTAAAATCACCAAAAAGCCAAAGGACAAGATGTTCAAGACTTTATAGACAGTATCTAAGAAAGAACACAATCAGGGAATGGCTTTGTCAAGGTGGGCAAAGTTCAGAATGGCCGAGTTCCCTCCCTGTTGGAGTGAATATACTAACACTGCCGGTGGCTGGGGGACTGTCACTGGGTGCAGCAGTAAAACAGAAGGGAAAAGCCTGGTACAGAAAGCTGAATGGCCCAAAGGAAACCTGAGTGGTGACAAGAACCTAAAGGCACATGCAGGTATGCATCTTTTATATTGGATGTGATACACTTACATGGCCCCTGTTGAATCTCTTGGGGACCAACAGTAAAGCAAGTCTAGAACTTCAAATCTTGAGACATCTATAGCAAGATGCTGATCCAATGTGGCTCCAAATATCTTCTGTTTTCCTGGCTCACCTGAAGAGGAAAAAACACTACAGAGGATGTGGGAACTGCATTTCTTTAGGTAGCTTCTTCTAGAGCAACTGTCTGAAAGTTTTGGCCCAGTCCTTTATGAAGTCTGCAGATGAGACACTTGAGGGACTAGTGAAAAACAAAATTCAAATGAAAAGGTGGAGTGAGACATCCAAAAGGGGGAATACGAGAGTCAAAGATAATGGTCGCAGGTAAATCAGTGTTTCTAATCCTTAAGTGGGAGGAGGCAGAGAAAGGAGAGAAAAATGCACGGAGGTTTCTCCCTCCACTCCCTCACCCCAATAGCTACTAAAATTTCACCAAGTACCTGAACTTTTTTTTTTACCACAATTAGGGAGTGAGTGCGCAAGATTACTTGGAGAGTTCAAGCGTTTTGCCAAGTCTCCCTCCCCGGGCTGTGTGGCATTATTAAGCAGCAGGGAGGCCTTTCAGATAATACTTATTTTCTGAGAAAAGATTCTGGTGGAATACAGCTTGAGGCAATAAAGAAAGAGAAAAATAAATGCCATTTATACAAAAATGGAAGTCACAGGACAATATACCCTATTGACAACGTTTATTTACTTCTGTTTTTCCAAAGGGGAGGGACTGCTTTCGTGTAATAAGAAATCAGAACAAAAAGTCGTTTTCAAATAATAGAAAATATTTTTAAACTTAGCAACACAAACTGCATGCTTCTTCCCCTTCGGAAATATTCTCCCTGGAAAGATAATCTTTAAAAAATAAGCTAAGACAAGCAGAACCAAGACTGATGTACGTTCACACAAAAGCATAAAAAGGTAGTCCATGAAATTAAATTTTTATTTTTTTAAATTAACTTATTTTTTTCTTAAAACATTTTATCTAAATTTTGTCTTAGAGCTAATCTCCAGCATTCCTGTAATAGCCTAGGATATAAAACAATTTTCTTTCCAAATATACTCCATTTTAACCAGTTAATTTGAACTATGACTGGTAAAGATACCAGAATTTTCTGAAAAATAAAACTGGAGAACCAACTAGATCCTTACCTGACGTGGCTGTTCATTCATTCGTTGTGGATCGGATTTCACTTTATTACTAGGATGATTTGTGACTTTGGTTACTGGTTGCTTGAAAATAGATGCTGTTTGTCTAATTGGCAATGTTGTATTCAAGTCTGGTTTACCCTGTGGATATAAGTGTTTGAATTAATAAATATTATATATAAATGTAATTAATTACTTATTAATTCAATATTTATTACTTTGATTATTCCCAACTTCCCAATCTCAGCATTTTAAATACGCTGAAGTACATTTTAAACACTTTTTTATATAAGACTTATGTAAAGTTTCACAATAAAAAGTGTGTTCTTTAAAATGTCAAAAAATTCTCTATATAAAATTTGATTAACAAGATACTAACAACTTTTTTTTTTTGATACTAACAACTTTTAAGCAAACAAATATATATTTATGGTTGGGTGATACAAGAGGAAGGAGGGCTTTCAGGTCAATAACCAGGAAAGCAATCATTTCTACATTCTGAGAATGGAGGAAAATAATGGCGTACTTGGCTATTAAAATATAAATTACCTCCTCAACTGTTAGGGGTCCAGGCTTACATAAAACCACAAAGGTTAACCTTCCCTTTTTTATATATATTTTTAAAAAGGTAATTAGAAAGCTTTAATTTCCACAAACAAGGCTCAATTTAGGAAAATGTAATAAAATATTCTCTATCTTTAATTTTATAACACATTTACTTTTTAAAAAGAAACTTAAAATTGAAGTTTCAGAAAAGCAAGCAGCATACTTAGAGACTTTTAATCAACCAGTTAAAAAAAAAATGTAAGAAATGAAAATGTGGCACAGAATTTCTATTAAATTCATACGAAGTGCAGTAACATGCTGTAGGGGGTGGCGGTGAAGAAAAAGAACAAAATGTGATTTGACTCATTTGGGCTTCCCTGGTGGCTCAGCGGTAAAGAACACGTCTGCAATGCAGGAGACATGAGTCTAATCCCCAGGTCAGGAAGATTACCTGGAGAAGGAAATAGCAACCCACTCCAGTATTCTTGCCTGGGAAATACCAAGGACAGAGGAGTCTGGTGGGCTATAATCCATACGGTCGCAAAGAGTTAGACATGACTTAGTGACTAAACAACATCATTGTGATTTGGGCAAAAAATAGAAAGGGTCAAATATATCCTAAAATAATATATATTACATTAGATATTTTTAGTATAGAAATGTACTTGATAAATCATCTACAGGATGTCAATGAACTTTTATTAACTATCTCCAAATAAAAATTGGATCAACTTCCAGACTTCGAAACAGTGTTTCTCAAACTTGAGCATGCATCAGAGTTACCCAGGGGGCTTATTAAAACACAGATTCCTGGGTCTCACTCCTAGAAATGATGATTCAGGAGGTCTGAGGTCGGGCCTGGGAATTTGCATTCCCATTAAGATCCAGGTGATGCCAATGCTGGTCCAGGGACCACACTTGGGCTCTAAACACCACACCACTAGACCACACCACTGCTCTAAAACAAAGACTGCAAGTTGGCGGCAGGGAGACCAGGTCTCACCCACAGATGTGTTCTGCTCCAGTTCTTAGTCTCTTGAGTCAATGAAGCTAAGAGCTACAAATAAAATCCAGATAAAATCGAGAATTCTAGCTTCTCTTAAAAACTCAAAGATCTAGAAATGGACTGATTTGGCCAAAACAGGCCATGACTGATTAGTAATGGCGGCCACTAGAGGTGTCAAGGGTTGTCATTTTGCAAAAGGCCTCATTTCACATTTGTGACACCTGTCTGAACCCTACAGGTATTGAGTTTGTGACCTCCGCTTATAGAACATCAGAAATCAGTCTGATCATTATTACAGTTATATTATTTGGGTGCCCTATTCAATGTGTCTCCTCTCCCCCACCCTACCCCAGCCCACGCACGCTGCTCTTCTGCACACACGGGGCATGCTGGCCATTTCCTTCTCTCATTCACTTTTCTTCCAACATACATGCTTACCTTTAAGAGGCATATTCATCTTTAAAAACTCTAACAATACCACTTCTCAGGCATTTCATTTTCTTATCTTTATGGTTTAAAAAAAAAAACAAACTTGATTTAGAGGTGTGGAAACTTGGTCAACAGGCTGCAAAATAACCATTTTAGGATTCCATCTCCAAAAAGTGTGAGGCCCAGGAATGTGTATTTTTTAAACTCTCCTGGTAATTCTGTGATGTGCAGAAGATTTGAATCCCTCTGATTTATGACATCAAGAGCATTCTAAGACCCTAAGTGAAGCCAACCAACCTGTACCAGTCAGTATTCAGTCCAAAAGACGCTTAACACATAATGGCTTACAAAGAACTCTTCCCGCCACTAATTTGTTCTAAGCAGTATCTACCACGAAACAACACCTTGCTTGGTTTTTAATGTTTCTGTACTTTAATAAAGAATAATATACTCTGCTGGTATTAGAACAAAGATGGGACCAGCAGACAAAGAAATACAGAGCAACTATTTGTATGAACAAACACATAAGAGTTTATGTGTTTATGTAAGAGTCTGTTACAAAGAATGATTGGAGGAAGCAGGGACTAGCTTGAACTATTCAAAACTATAAAAGGAAAAAAACTATAAAATCCTTAATCCACACAGACTGGAACGAAGCATGAAACATGTAAAACTACTGGTGCTACAATGATAAGACTAATTTATTATGTTTGTGATGCAATAAAAAATTAATCTACTGGCTAAAAAATTTCATTGTCTGACAATGACAGTTTATTGCCCAGTGGAACAGAACGAGATTTTTCAAGAGTGTGCAGCATTGCTCTTCTGTTGATCTTATTTATATTTTATTATTTTTCCTCTTTTAAACTGGCCTGAAAGCTCTGAAGAAAGAATTTTTTACTAATTAATTTTGTATTCTACAATAGTATCATGTAAAATAACCTGAAAAGCTGGACTAACTGGTTTTCCCAGAAACTGTCACAAAAAAAGTTAATTTTATGACCATTCTCTCCTGAGGACTGTCAAAAGAGTCACTGTTACTTCACACCCAGTTGTCTGAGTTTTTCTAAATAACTATAATTCTGCCATGAACCTAGGAGTTATAAAGCAAACTTTTTTTTTAAACACATGATGATATTTTAATATAAATACAAATTACAAATCATAATAGACAGATGGCAATAAAATATGGTATTTCATTTGTACTGCATGACATCCTTAGTCATAAATAAATTCTTAGAAACCAGTAATAAAGACACTGATACACCAAGGGAAACGAAAAAAAAAAGAACAAAATGAAATAATACATACAAATGACTAGTAAGGATTAAGCATGTATGAATGAAGATGACCGAACTGAACAATAACAGAAGAAAAGCAATTTCTTTGTAATATCATATTGCCAAAGATTAAAAATCAAACATTTGTACAGTTTTAGGAAATATACCCACATAAACACTGGTGGATACAATAATGGTCATTATAGTGGTGGTTATTTTAGCATTCTTTTTGAGACTTTTGCACATGTGTGAGTTCAATATTAAAACATGGTTAATATATCTGTGTATTGCCACATGACAATCTAAAAATCAAATGTGAATTACTGAATAGAAAGTTATCTGGAAAATCACAGCAAAATTTTAACCTTACTGTATAAACAGATCACAAAAGAAGGGACTGCTACTATTTTCTGCCTTTAAAGTACTTTTTACAAAATGGGACAAGATTAAAGCTATTCGTGTATTTGAAATCTTCCCTTTCAATATAGGAATAAGTGAAACAAAGTTCCTTATATTATAAAACTAAACTGACAGAAACACACATTCTAACAAAGTTTCCAACCTTAAATGTATCTTCTCAGTATACAGGCTAGCACTCAAATAAAAATTTAGTGTATTTTATAATAATGTGTATATTAAGCTGGGAAGTTTCCAATAACTCAAATAATTGTTGACAGTTTATTCTATCCCCCCTGGGATGAATACAAAAATAAATCTTTCTAAAATTTTTTTAAACTTTTACTTTATTTCTAATAAATATCTGCGATGGCTCTTAAAACTTCAAAAAACAAATACACAATAAAAACTAATTTTAATCAAGGACAAGGCGAAATAAACTTCCTTTTGAAATGGTTAACAGTGATTGATACTAGCCTTAATCATCAGATGTGGATCTGAACTTTCTAGGGGTGTGGGCAAAAAAAGAAACATTCAATGACAAAGATTTCATACTCAGAAAGGAGGAAGCATACCAATTAAAGAGGAAAACAAAAGCTGGTATTAAATCTAGAAAAAAAAAATAGACACTTAAATCACAACAGATAGTAAACAGATTTCAAATGCTTTTTTTTTTTTTTTGGTTAATTGTTTATTTATTGAGAGACTATTTCTCACCCCAGATAGTCCTAGTTTCACAGTTCAGGAACACAGGAAAGTGACAAACTTCCATGGAACTCAACCCAAGAAATCCTTTATATTCCAAATCACTTTGCACTCTGAAAAATACCAGCCTTCCTCATCTCCTCAAAATCTTTCATGGAATCACAATTCCTGTAGAAATCTGCATATGCATTCTTTCTTCATTCAGCCACAGCAAACTTATAGAAAGTTGCAAACCCCAGGGAGACCATGAACGCTCCAACAATATGAAATCGCAGACGTTTGGCCAGGAGGCCACGCATCTGAGGTTTTGCCAGAGCAGTGGACATGGTAGTTCTCCTTCTCGGCGGCTCAACCGCAACATCCTTCTAAGCTGATGGAGAAATGGACCTCAAATGCTTTTTCTTTTCCCACTGACCTTCCGTAAAAGCCAAGAACATATATAAACGACAACTCAGTGAAGATGACTTTGAAAAGGACTAAACCAGCATGGCCTGGTTATTGTGTAACCTTTCAATGATTCAATGTGAGCCTGCCTCTTAAGAAACCTATATGCAGGTCAGGAAGCAACAGTTAGAACTGGACATGGAAAAGGAGTATGTCAAGGATGTATATTATCACCCTGCTTATTTAACCTATATGCATAGTACATCATGAGAATCACTGGGCTGGAAGAAGCACAAGCTGGAATCAAGATTGCCAGGAGAAACATCAATAAATATGCAGATGACAACACCCTTATGGCAGAAAGTGAAGAGGAACTAAAAAGCCTCTTGATAAAA